AATGCAAATTCCTCTCCCTACGACACAACAGAAGATTCTCGTATTTTCTCGTGAATAAGCAGCGACCACTTCGAATATAAAGAACTTAGGTGTTGCTGTTCAAGAGAATTCAGGCTGCTCTATCAATTGCGCTAAGGCTTCGTCCGCTACTGTGAAGAATGTCGGCTCACTTAGGCGAGTCTTTTGCCGGTTTGAATCAGCAGTGTTCCCACGTTTACTATCAGTGTAAATTCGACCGTACACAGAGTACTCCATCCAAGCTTGAAGTCCCCGGTTGAAACGTGATCGCAAGATGCTTGAGCGCCCAAAAGGAATGGCCACCAAGATGGTCAAGGGACTGCATCACCTCACCTATGAGGAGAGATTGTGACCTCTGGGACTACATTCTGCCCAGTACCACCGAATAGGGGAGATTTGATTTTGATAAATTAAATACTGCAGAACTCAAACCATCCATGTCGGTAACTGCTCATGTTATCGAATAATATACACCATAGGGGCCACCGCTAAAGTTACTTATTCCAAAGTGGCTACTGGAATTCCGGCGTCAATATTTTGCAGTCAGACTATGCAGTACTTGGAACACCCTTCCATCTCACGTCGTCGTGTACCAACTATTGAGTCTGTCAAGCGGAGACTGTATGGAAGTCTGATACAACACAACTAAAAAAACGCAAATTCGTTGTTGTCTCGTGCCTGAAAACCTGTGATTTTTTTCGCCGAGAAACGATTCAACTGTGTAAATATCCTATAAGGGCAACATAAGCATGAGCTTGTAAGTAATTCCCACGATAAAACTTCGAGTTTGACTTTGATCTTCGACACCAGAGTAAGTCAGGTTTTTCCTTTGCAACAATTTTAACTCCGGTGTCCATTGGGAAGGTTTGCAACGAAACTTGTAGGTATTGACCTTATTTGACATGCGAATAACGATGAACTGCAAAAGGCATCTCATCTTGTACTGCCCGTTTTAAACGAAGTGTGTGCGTGTGCGCTCACTTATGGAAAACAAACTACTCAACTACGCGAATGAACTGAACAAGCTCCCGGTTAATGGTTAAATGTTTAATTAGACATTCTTTCATGTATTTTTCGGTACATATAGCTCCCGCGGAGCACAAACAATTAAGTTGTCATTCAGCACACGTTCTCTCGAGAACTTCATTTATTCATTACCACTTCGTTAGGAGCACTCAATGAATGGTGAATAGCACAAACAGGGAGTGTGAAAGTTATTAGTGTTAAATAAACATATGTGAATAGCTAGTTGTACAGCAATTTATCAACGTGCATAAATAGATTGTCGTGATGGTTTCTTTCAACTGAGAGCAGAGTTTAATGCTACAGGCAGATTTGAAATACATATCCTTCTTTATGAATTAGAAACTATGAGCATTCGATTCTGTAACCTGCAGCCGCTGGATTCCCGGCTCCTAGCCAGTGAATTTTCTATGGATAGCAGGTTAGACTGCTACCGAGCGGGCCTCCAGGTTGCGGATAGGAGAATCGCCACCTTGGTGGTTAACCGTGAACAGGTGAGGTCATACTGACTGAATAATCAATCTCAGACGATCAACAGCGATGCTAGAAAACGTCGTGGGGTTTCCGGCTGGCAAATGATATACCTTCTAAGGTCCATAAAAGTCTGCTGATAGCATCGTGACGTGTTCGATTGTGGCCCGCCACCAAGTAAGTACATGGCCACTTGCCTACTCACTCGGGTAGGAGGAGTGTATGAGATAGATAGATACCAACCCTCAGACCTGACGGACACGTTGAGATCTTGGACTGGCGCTTATCCATTCGAAAGCCACATGAACCGTTCTGACGGTCACCGGCTACCAAATATTCCCCATTGTTGCCCTATAGGTAGCAATTGGTTGTGCAAGTGTTAAAGGTTTACGCTTGAACAAAGTTCGAGCAGTGCTGAGGAAGTCACTTAATACCTTATTCCCAAGTTTCTTCATGGATCGTCTTACGACGCTACATCACGTTCATGCTGCGGCGTTCCCGGGAAGCGACGTGCCTGCAAACTCCCCGTGACTGGAGTGACAATTGAGCAAGCTGGGAACCTAAGCCATCAGTAAACCAGCTCCAGCAACCACGTAGCTAGCTGGAAGGTGAGGACATTGCTAAACATACGAAGGCAGTGTATTACAGTGAGTTCATTGTTTGTCTATAAAGTAGACGTCTACTGTCTATCCGAAGTCCGATTGCCTAACTGTGGCACAAAACTAATCAATGCGTCACCTTGCAATGCAACTCAGGTTATACCGTAGCGGAGTGGTAGTCACCGTGAGAAACGGAACCATGAACTCCTGGGAACCAGTATCTCCCAGTTTTGAAATGATGTGCCTTAGGGGTATACAGTTTAACCTGACTGTCATCGTTGTCCTTGCTCCAACGTTATATGCAGATGCACCCATCAAAGAAGACTTCTTTAATCAAGCTCAAGATGCAATAAAATGCAATCCAAGACGCAATATTCTCTTCTTCGCGGATGATTGGAATGCGTGCACTGTTTTATGAGACGAGTACACTAAGCGTGTTCCGAGGAAGTTTGGTCTTGATCAACGTTGCGAAAATGGCAAACACCTAGTCACATTTTCTGACCGGCGACTAATTGTGGCCAAAATCCGTTTCCAGTACCCCAGAAATCACCTGCTTACTTGTTACTCAAGTGAGGGTCAAACGACACATCAGATTGATTGTAATTTGTTACGTGCTTGCTGGAACCGCATGGAGGCTGCAATGGATTTTGGAAATCTGGTTGGTTCAATCCTTGTCGCTGCAAGCAAGAGGCACGCCTTTGAGTTACTGTTGCGCAACAACCCCGATCAACTTACTCAAAGAAATGAACAGAAAATGCAAAGGTGGGTCAAACACTTTGACAAGCTGCTCAACCCCCAGTGAAGCCAACCTGGCTGTCCAAATGTGTCAAGCAGTTCGGAAACCTACGACATCAATCACGCCCCACCTAGTAATAGGATAGAAATCTTCAGTGCAGTCACTCCTCAGTACAGCAGAATGCTAAACGTACCCCATCAAGTCGAACACAATGCACAGGTGATTACGGAAAACGAAGTGATCCCGTATGTGAATGATGTGGCCCAAATTGTTCGGATCTGCTCGTTTTAGTTCCTCCAACACGGTCACTTCGACTTGTGCCTGTTGATGAAATCTGAGGGAGGAACGTGTTGAGATTTAAAATCGGACGGTTTGTGCGTGTAACGTAATCAGAAGCAGCGCATCATTAGTTTGATCTACGTAAGATAAAAAGACAAGTAGCTTATCTTTTCCAAAACGTAAAGTTAGAAAATAGCGCTCAAATATACGCCAATATAGACTGTCATGGCAATAGGAATAAAAACTATACTTAAGTACTATCTAAAGTTATGAGCGCTCTTGCGGTTACATTTGTCGCTGCCGAATAAACCGGTATTAAAGAATAACAAGACTTTGATCGAGTTATGCAGATAAAGCTGATTTGTTTGAGGAAACCCCGACTGAAAGAGTGTACAAACGTTTTCCTGTCAATGAGGTCCTAAGTTCCACCGTTTCCGGATTCAATAAGTGTGCGTTGCTCACAAAAGTTCCACCACGTCAATAGAGCTCGCGGGATTTTCAGCTCCAATCTCCTCACAAAATACCACCCAACCTTGTGTGATTCGCCGCACCAAGCCCTGAGGACTACAATACCGTTTTCCATGAGCACATAGCACCTCCTCGTGGATATCATCTCATCTACTGTTAGTCACACAAGGGAGTGTGATCTTAAAAGGGTTATTCTGAACCAATGCACACAAATCATATATATATATATATATATATATATGAGTAGCGATATTGGGTCTTGTGCAACGATTATCGCATTGCAGTCCGTTTATTTTGGTTAATTTTACACAACCATCAATACGATAAAGGTAGAGGAAGCAGGTCAAATGTGAGTAGATAGTGAACTAGTGCACGAGCATCACTATTGAATACGACCACACACCTCCATGGTGAAATACGGAGTGCATTCATACACCAGGCCCCGCGATGTACAGATGTTAATTATTTCAGTTAAATAACACAATGGGTACGTAATATTCTTTGTCTAATTTAGGCATTTCTGGTCTGTTTGCCCTTTCAAATTCTCAATGTTTGAGTACCCGGTGAATATATTTCGCTAACACGCGACCGAATCCTAAAATCTGCCAAAAACCATTGCATTACCTAATTCAGATAATAGATAGTCAAAATCTTATTAATAATTCATAACATCAAACGACAGATTGTTTGAGTCTCTTAACTGCAGGTCATCTGTACCTTTACAATTGATATCAGAATTAAAGTCATACGGATGTATGAAACAGGTTTTCTCACCGTTTTTTATTGCGAATTATTTTGATAGCAAATGTGTTCCCCGTTTGATGATCAATAGCACGGACCACGCGACCAAACGAGCCTTTTCCCAGGGTTTCCAAAACTTCGTACCGATAAGCCAAATGGTCACTGGTTACCTGAATGGGGAAAGGAAAATTCCGAATTTGATTGAAATAAAAACATGCAGATTGAGTGGCTTATACTTTTGTGCTTCAATGATTCGACGAAGTGAAAATAATTATCTACCATATAGCTAGTTTTTTCTCTCTCCAACTTTTATTCTGCTCATTGATAGCATCAAGCATTATAGTACATTTATTGGACTATTGTTTTGACCCGAAGTAACTGCTAAGTTCGCTAACTGACCACCTAGTTCTTTTGTCTCTGATCGATAATGTGGCAAAGTTTTCCAAACTCAAACCATGGTAACCACGGTGTTCGTTCAAGCGGCAAACAAGCCGTACAGACAACAAACATTCAGTTTGAATTTTTGTCCCACAAATGCGCATTCAAGTTGTGTTACCTTCAAATATGTACCGTGTTCGTCATCGTAACCGGCATTCAGCGGTGCGCCGGGCACCCCATGAATCTTTTCCGCGTCCAAACCAAGAAACCATATTTCTGGAAATTCGTTCAGTTCTTGACGCTCATAGGCCGTAAGCTTTTTTCCATACAGGCTTAGAGCAGCTGAAATGATCAGTAGAACAAATGGAATGATTGGTCACTCTAATTATAAATGTATTTTACAGAATTAATTAGTTCTCAATAGTATTTTTTCATTATGATGTGTATTAAACGGTCGTTCTGGTGAACATTTTAAGTTTACTCATCAACCAGCCTAATTATTTCCAAGGGCTAGAAAGTGATCAACTTAACTAAAAATCTCACAACCTATCTCGTTGGTGTCCGGTTAACATTAGCTATCATGGTACAAAAGACTGCCGCAACCGGACTATCGATGCCATATTATTGAATCATATAGGTGTTCATGTTTAACCATCCATTTCTTCAGCTTCTGCTTAGAGAATTTTAACTATATGCCCATTTCGCATTTTACCTCTTCTTTTCAAACGGCCTCAGGTGTGTGCTTGTGTAAACGATTTCACCTTCATTGAGAGTCCCCTGTCAGTCTTCAACGTTCGTAACGTTCGCAACTTTGAACTGCTTCACAACTCTAGTATTTTGGACTCCGCCTACTCAGCTTCAGACAATTCCTTCGGTAGCATATCTTTCACCGCGCGTTTGCCATTCACACGCCCACAAAGGGCGTCTGGTTGAAGCATTTTTCATGTAACAAACAAGTTGAAAAATTATTCATCTATCTTTCCTGATCACGTGAAAATATTCACGTACTGCAATTACCAGTCATATCATTTGAAATCCTCACTTTATCTTGCGTAACACTCATGCGGGGCATCTGCTTAGTTCCCACTGTAACCATAATATTGCTTGATGGCTATTGAGAAGAAGTTCACCGGTAGATTTTACGCTGTATATTTAGTTATATCTTTCCTTTGCGTACTGGTATATCGAGAACACCTAGATCCAGTATCCTGGTCCCCTTTCCATGATTATTCCGGCTTATCTCGCCGTTTCATCTCTGATTAGTTAAATTTGGACAATTACACACTTCAGTAGTCATTCAGTTGCATACCTCCCGATTAAGTTGACTCATTCACGTCCCCCACCACGGTCTTCCCAAATGTGGGTTTTTAACAGTTATTTTTAAAGCATTTCAATAGTCTATTCTCATGAAACTGCCGGGTGTGATGTGTTGAGATTGTAACTACCGTAAACATTTGTTTGATTGTATCTCTTTTTTTTCTGAAAATAGGCAATATTTAGTTCAAACTATTAAGTTTAAATTTGCATAATCCGTGCGTTTGGGCTTGAAGATCGACGGTTTTCCAGAAGACCCGTTATCTTCAATATCTGTTTTTGGATTCTCATCCTGAGGCTGATTACAGACCTTTTATTTTCCTCTCATCTTATTCTTCGTCACTGAAAGTTAACTGTCTCTATCAGCAGTTCTTTCATAACTTTCATCCAGCACCATTTGCTTATCCTGGTTTTTTATACCGACCGACCCATTCATCTCTGGAATAATGAGGTGCGCAACCAAACCCAGGCCTCCTAATGAATACAGATTTGGTTTGTGAGATCTGAGTTGGTATATCAAACTCCCTGGAAAGCACCTGACGAAAGTATGCAACTCAAATGAGTTCTTTCCATTTATCAACATTTTTACTCCCAACTGAACTGGTGATTTCATATTTTTGTTTTCATCTATAAACGTCATCCTGCGCCTGCTTTCGAGATTCGCTATTCACGTTTATGATACATACACATATCTTCCTTTGAAAACTGTTGCACCTAGGAAAATAATGCACAAAAGCATGAGTACTTCGTCGATTCCACATAATACTCTTTATTCAATTAACAGGTCATCAGGAAAGTTGTATGGCCACTTTGTAATGATGCTTTGTTTCCGCAGTTTTTCATAATATTCCCCCACAACTATGTGTGCCCGCAGGTCTTCGAAAATGCATCTGCTGTTTAATTACCACTGTGCACTTTGAAACGTCGAATATCAACCAAGTGGAACAAAACCATGTGCACATACTCACACCAGTTGAATGCATTCAAACGAAAAATGTACAATGAAGGTCTTAATTAAAGGGGCATTTCCCTTTTACGTGGATCTTGTTGTGTATGCTATGACAAAACAAATTCAAATCACGTTTAATGAGAACTGAAACCCACATGCGATCATGTGAATTCTTGTGACCACACAATTTCTTTGAGAAGTCGACACGGAACTATTGACAATTTACTGATACCAAAACAATGAAAAATAAATATTTGAAAACTACATTGCACACGAACAGGTGGAACTGAAGTGTATCGTTCTGACACAGCTTCAAATCAACTGTCGGCTTCCCAACATGTTCCTCCATATTGGTTCACAATTTGTTTGACAAAAGTCTAGACAAAATTTGAGGTATTTTAACACCAACACCAAAATTCTGCTGTCCCGGTAGCATATTTACTAACTCGATAAAAAGGTTCAGATTAAAAGCATTGCGTTTTGCAATTATCAGATTTCATTCTCCTATCTCAATGGGAGTGGCTGAAAAGCCCAAGCTGACCCCGTTAATTGATCATTGTTCATCAAAACTAAAGTATCAGCTCACAGATGAACGTGTTATTACCAGACGAGCTCATGAAGCGACTATGGGAGTTATAGAGAGATACAAAATGATTATTCTACCTCTTCAACTAACTCAGTACATCAGACCAAGAAGATAAAATGGAAAGGACTTCAACTCAAAATTACCAAATGCGTTGAAGGAAAACGACAAAACCCGTCGAATATAAAAGTCAATGCATAAACAATACTGCGAAGGCATACAGAAAATTGCTCGATAGCTGTCATCACGTTTGAACCAGTTCTTCTAACAGCTGTTGCATGGTTTTTATGGACTGCCAAAAAATATGAGAGAGGGCGAGCCTATTAGTAATTGGTTATGTGTAACTCTCCCTGCGACCAAATGACTGGTTCAGCTGTTTTGCATCTAGTTGATAGTTAACAATACAAACGTCACAGATGCATTCCTACCAAATTATCTGAAAACTGTGTCCATCCTTCCTTCTCTGGATATTCCCATTTGTAATTAGTTTTACGCATATGAATACATATGGTGTGTTTAATTGATCATAAACAGATTAAAAACAAGCATCTTTGTCAGGTCAAGAAAAAAAGCAGAAAGATTATTTTTCTTAAAAAGCTTTCTGGCCAAATTTTAGTGATTGCTTTAAAATGTGATGGAGCGTACAACATCCAACACCGAATCTCTGTCCTAAAGTAAATATTAATGAGGATGTGGAATGGCACCAGTGAACTCATTCTTCATGCACGTTACTGGACATGAGATACCGATAAAGGCTGATCAGAATAGGAACGTTGCACAGTGAGTCTAATGCTTCGAACTGAAAGGTGACACAGTGAGGCTTTATGGTCAATCCACAGTACCTGGACCCTGTAGCGAGTAACTTTCCGTGATTTCCGTGATTTTTCTCACGCGTTTCTGTTGGACAAAACGAAACAACCAACTATCACTGAGGATAATATGAGATGAAACTTGACTCATTAATTCGAGTAAGTTCCGATGTGAGTCGGTTGACACAGTGATAGCATAGGATTTTCGTGCCTCAGTTGCGTGGTTTCAAACTCGGACGAATTGGTGCGTATAAGTACAAGTGATCTGTTCTAACAAAACGCAAAACCTAGTCTGATGCTTCCATGGCATATAGAAGGATCTGTTTGCTGCAAATCCGGGGAATTACTCTTCCTAATCAACCTAATTTATCGTACATCGCTACCTCTCAGGAACTGAGAGAAATTGTGAGTTAAAACTAGCATCATCATGGAATGTGAATATCCTCTCCACTACACGGAATTCACTTTGAAAAATAGAGAACAATGTTTCGATGGTGCTATTTAAAATTATATTTTGAACAAGAATAGAAAGCACGAATTATATTTGAACTGTTTTCGAGAGAATACCAAGTGATAAATGTGTAGATTTATTCATGCTCTGAGGTATCTGTTAGCTGCACCACTCTCCAACTGTTGCAGGAGCAGAACGATATTCATGCGGACGCGCAATTCATGTCAGTAGGGAACGTTTCGTTATTAGAGATAAAACTGCGCGATATCTGTCGTTCAGTGTTCTTCCCATCCATATATCATGGGTGTTTTATATGTGCATTGAAATTGAGAGCTTATCTATCCCCATGGTAGACATATTCGCGTGAATCAGGTAAAGACAGAGCGAGAGAGAGAACGGGTTTCGATAAGAACTTCAAATGTAATCAAAGGGTACTTGTGCCTCAGGGAATAGCTACGCCACTAGATGGTTACTTTAAATAGGATTTTGTTTCACATATCGCTACATGGGACCGGCTTGTTCACACGTGTCCTACCTGGGATACATTAGCAGGTTTAACTAACTTGCCTTTATCAGGTATTGTGTGAATGAAAATTCACAATTGTGTGAAGGCTAATAACTTGGGCTCATATGCAAAGAGTTTTGAAATCTGGATTGGTATTGGTTGTTTTGCTTACCGGGTAACGTGATGCTATGATCAAGGTTCTTGCAGGGGGTTAGGAGAGCTTCGTGGCTATCCACGTACACACAAAAGTATAAAAGATAAATCATAATTGTTGGTAGGATTTATCCACTTGGCCAATGCCTCTCTCTATTGTATGTTACCAGGTTATCTTAACCAGTATTGCTTAACACATATACCGATAGATTTCATCCTGTAGAAATTCACATGTGATCAATCGGGATGGATGCGAAAAAACAAATCTTTAACCTGTCAGGGCATGTATAATTCTTGCACGAGTTCTAATGGATCCTTACATCATAAAAACATCGATGTAAGTTTCATGTAACATACTATTGGGTTGCATTGGCCAGGATGATTTTGTCGTCAAATTCACATCGTCCGATTTCTTGGTGATGGAAGTTTTGGTTCCGTTGAATTCTAACCGCGGCGTGTTTATTGAATTTACAGTCACCGTCTCTACGGCTTGATTTTGGCTTTCATGTGAGAGTGGAGGCGTCGCATGTTTGCTGTCAGTTGGCTCCTTCGACGAGACGAGCGCGACATCACCGTTTGTTTTTGTGACAGTCGGCGGAGTGCTTCTTTTGCTGATCACAATACTCGTAGGAATTTTAGGATGTCTAGGAGCCAATCGAGGTGTGAGGGTTTTGTTACTGTTGCTTGTTTCTGCGTGTTTCTCACAATTCATTGGATTGTCCACCGACTGTTTTCTCAATCTCAGCTCCGCGTTTAGACCAATGTTTGCTAGTTTCGTCCACGACGAGCTCAGTTGAGAAGATATCTTTTTATTTTCGGCAATCGAATCAAGGAGAGAGAGAACTGTCTGTTCTTTATCTTGTTTCTTCCGGGTGTGATCTGTTGGATGCTTGAAACGGTCGTCACCAGACCATAGTTCACCGGATGAACCCGCGGTTTTGACACTGTTGTTTGTGGTGGCTGCTTTGTTACGGACTTTGGGGAAACTGGTAGTTGTCTGGTTGAATGAAGTGGTAAAAAAGATTCCACAGAAACAAGTTTTACAAACTCACTGGAACCAATTGCCCAAATGGATCTTGTTTTAAATATAGCCTAAGTCTAACCAAGAGAGACCAGATACTAGATCAAATGTTTATACCTGTAACTGATAAGGGTCAAACCGTAGGTTAATCAATTCTGTGATATATCAGCAGTGTATGTCTTGATGAGTATACTAATATGCCTCAATGGAGTACCTAGCTCCGAGTTGGGAGTTCAAGAATTCATTTTCAAACAAAAGGTCACCGTTCAGTTAGGCAAAATCAGCGATTGTTCTTGTGAGCTTGAGCTTTCTAATATGTGTTACTTCACCTTAAAAGCAAATTTGAAATTGCCGTAAGACTTAAAATAAATGCACACAGAATAAGTGTGATAGGTCATTGGGAATCTCTTGTTGTCCTGTCTAACTGCCGGATAAAACAAAAATCCAGATTTTCAGGATATCAGCAAAGGTTTCTCACACAGTAAATAGCATTTTTGAGGATTTCGGGATTGTCTATACCATAACAGAGGGTCAAATGTTACCCTGCTTTTAGTAAGCCCCTAGGGGTATGCAAGTAAAAAACTAAACGGCAAACAAGTCAGTTGTTTTATTTGAGAACTCAATTTTGTACGTGCTTTAGACTACAAGCACAAACTTTAATGCACTAAGAGTCATCTCACTCATAAAGACCATGTCTTTTTTCTACAAAGCAGTTAGGTGTAAACTTCCCTGAAGTAAACTGTACAGGCTTTAAAGGGTAAAAAATAGTTCAGAGAAATAATAAAACCAGAATCTGTCAACATGAAACCGTCTTACATGGCTTTTAATGTTCGGGCGAAATGCACGTGCCCCCCCAGCCGAAATCTGTTTATTTGTTTCACTAGTTCCCGGTAAAATGTTCAGTTGTTGGTCAACCCCATCTGGTCACGTGGTAGCATCTCTAACCTCAGATAGTTGGAGAAGAATTCAGAGAAGTTCTACTATTCTGTTAGGGTTATCATATGCAATGAAAAATTTAAGCTGTATTTTCCAATGCAGCATGCTGCCCGAGCTGCTAGAGACCTGACAGTGAACCAAACTAACATGCACATGTTTCATCCATTTATCAGACTAAAGCGCTCTTGTTTTCCTAGAACGTAGTCTACGATCAAGCCGATCGGGTTCAGATTGACATATATCCACACATTACTTTGTTATTCACCAGTCAGTAAACTATTGAACTCATGGGTATGAATCTTTTGCACAGTAAGCCATATCTGGTATTCGCGATTCCACTCCAAACTTTTCTAACCCCTTAATTTAAGTTATATCTGGCTTAAATGAATGTAATAGGGAGGTATTCTATGAAGAAATTATTCTAGCCGGTGGGTTTCTTTGACAGGCCTCAGAAAGCATAGTTTATTACATGCGCCTGTGATGTGCTGATACGGATTTGCCTTTAAAGCATCCCCGACCGTGGGTTTGCATCGGCTTTATACCCAATGTAACATAAGGTATTCTTGACTGTAAAATTTTGCATAAGGGAGTCTCGATCGTTTAGCTTGACAGCAAAAAAAGGTTATTAGCAAATCTCCATTGAAACGTTTCTTCAGGATCCTTTAAATCATTTATAAAGTCAAAAATATTTATAACCTATACGTTTTAATTTCTTTAGAAACCGTTTACAATGTATTGACCCCTAAACGTACCCGTTCTGACATTGTCTCCGCAGACGCATTAACCAAGTGACTGTCCTTTATTGGTCTGGAATTCTGCTGATCAACATTCGACTGCATACCGGCAAGTTCGGATTTCCAATAGTCATTCGCTCTTCGTCGACCAGCTCGATTGATTCGTCTTTGGTTGCCTGTAATCGATGACCAACTGGATTCAAGAACATTCTGTTGACTGCGCGTGGTCTCGTTGTCTAAAGCGACCCTAGGTAGCCAAACCTGATGGGGCTTGATGGAGTCAAACGTGACATCCGAGTACCGGGCCAAACTGTCGCGTGGTTGGTGTCGATTGGAACGCATCTTCTGTGCATGCACGAAACTCAGTGCGGCATTGGAAAGGCCTTTCGATGGGATTGCATCGGGCAAATGTTTTCGATGACGTTTCATCAGTGATTCCAACTGATCGGTGGAGTGCGAATTAAAATTGATCGGGGCCATGTTTCTCTGCGTGTGTTCGCCACGTTTATCTTTTTCGTGTTTGCTGGGTGAAGGTTTACCGAGTCGTCCGTTTGATTGATGAATTCCCTGCCAATGGAATGGGAGAATTGTCTTCCGATTCAGCGGTACAGTATTGTTGCCTCGTAGGACCTGAACAGACCATCATACGTGCAAGAGCTAATCACGAGGGTCAATTTTTGTTAATTTCTGTGCACTATTATTGATCTGCATGGCCATCATAAGAAATAAATCGGTTGACCTTGAGGCTCCCATAAATGAGTATGAAATGTCATAAAATAAATTTTTCTATATTCGTCCTTAGATAAACGGACCTAAGCTCATTTCATTCCAAAGCGTTATGAATACTGTTCGCCCGATCATTTTGCTCCATGTCTATTTGAATATCGGCTGAATTCGTGTTTGCGTTGATCTCTCTCCGTATTTACCACGTATACCAGTTCTGACTAAAATAAGAGATTGGGCATTACACACTAAGACTGTTGTGGAATAGGTCTTCAGTGATACAGTCAAATGTTGATTAAACAACTTGTTTCAGACTTCTACTCTTTTCGAATTGTTGATTTTGTGGAGTTCTCAAAGTGTGCCGAACTATCCTTGATATGGTGAATGCTATTTATGATACCGTTATTATTCGACTATTATTATTTGAAAGACTTCTGCTTCACTTTTTTACTTTAGCGGTTGATTTGGATAAATGATTTATTTGTAAGACTACCAGATGTTCCATCAGAATCCCAACCCGCTCATGATTACAACCCCAGCCTGTGTTTGATGTTCCCTGAATCAGCTGAGTTATGAGGCCCTTACCGCCCGTATTTCTGAGCGTTTTCATGAGGGATTTGAAAAAATCCTTTGAAACTAATCCTGGGGAACATAGACACGTTCTTGGTACATTCCCATCTACGTTTGTTGCCATCTCACGCTTTTCTGTTTGATATGCTAGCCAATTAGTTAATTGTTGTTTTCACCTGAAAGCAAGCACAACTCCCGCTTAGGGATTGTCGGATCAGCTGATTCTCACTATTAGTCACCGATTTACAATGCCAATTTAATCTCGGTTCCGTATCTTGTGCTGATTATCCATCAGACATCGGCACACATCTGTGATTTTCATTTCCCTTCCATCTGCACGATTTTATGATGCAAACCATGCATCAGGAGAACAAGCGAGAGAGACAGATATTAGCTTCAATGAGCTGAATCGGAGTTGAGTTGATGTTCACTGCTTTATGTGTTACTTCACAGTCAAGCAGGATGTAGACTAACAACGAAATAAAGTCCTGTTGAACTAGTGCTACGGTTGTTTGAAGATCAGCTGCAAAAAAGAAGCAAAACTGAATATTCGACGACGGTAGTAACCCCACAGGGTCGACAGCGATGGATTATGTATGGATTATCTCGGGCACAATGTGAAAAAGGATGTTTAGCTATTAGTGACAAATACCATGATGATTGAGGATAAAATACTTAGGCGATACGACGAGACTTTCCTAAATGTTGTAATAGGAAGTTCAATATCCATGCGAAGAAGTTAACAAATACATATTTATAAATATTCATTTGATGGTTGAGCTAAAACATGTAGATGAATATTCAGTCACAAGATATGAGAATGAAGTTTGCACGCAATCACAGTAAACAAATGGGTGCTCACACACAGTGAGTGAAGTTGGTGGGTGAATGGTCTTTAAAGCGGGTTTCAGAAAAATAATAATAATAATAACGAGGTCTGTCTAAAAATTGCAAAACTCGTTATCTTTCGGGATATCACAGCTAATTTGGATGCGGTTTTGATTATTCCGCGCAGATTCACATAGGGCTTTTTAAATACTGTTCATGTTCTTCTTCTTGATAGGTTGAAACTAAGACCCCTCACTCCTAACTGGNGTTAAAGTTCCCTTCGGGACAGAACAATAGCTCACACTGATGATGAGTACTACTGATGACAAAACAGCTGTCCAGTGCTGTTTGTCGGCCGTCACTCATACACACAAAAACCACAAGTGAAAATGTACAGCTGTTCAGTGTCTACTGATAAGAAGCAAACTTCATTGTACTTGATCGGATCGATCCAACGGCGTTCAATTTTAGAACCACTTCTTTTATTCTCTATTTTCAGGATGATTCAAGCATAGCAGCGATCCTGTCTGATTATCAGAAGTTAAAAACTTTCATTGCATTATCTGTATTCCCTTTAATGGAATGCAAACACTAGCCGCTTCGGGTTTGTCGGTTCTAATTCAGCAGCCACAGAATAACCGAATGTTTCACCGACAGAGCAAAAAATAAGGCTACGGGATATTACAATCACTTTGGACACTTTCAAGCGGCACATATCTACCATGCAAACTAAGACAAGTGATCGATTTATCAAGAAGCTGGCTGTATGTTTCAAAGTAATGTGCGAATAAATTCTAATGACCTGTTTAATTAGCCAGAGAAGCTCGAGAACTCATGGTACTAATCAGGTCCTTTGTGCGCAAGCATCGTTCGGTTTGTGGGGCCCCAGTCCTAATATGACAAAAATCGCAAAGGTTCTTTTTACACCTGGTAGTTATCAGTCATGACGTCAACATTGTTCGTTCCCAAACGATTTCCTTTATATAAAGTTGGACGTTTGATTTATTCATGGATTGTTACCGTCACTAGTTTATTGGGTTGGCTAATTATGCACCATACTTGTATTGTTAGTAAACGGAGATTTTGGAATATTGTTCGGAACATATTCATGATCTATGAGCATCAATAGAAACGCTCTTGAGCACGTAGAATCTTTTGCAAAGCAATGGAAAACGTGATGAATCAGCGGGTTCCAAATCACTTGCGTAAAAAAATTGAGTTGTAATATAGCGGTTTGCGACTGGAATTGAAAATTTTGATGCATCCGGCCTCCTCAGGGATAGACCCACACAAGAAGCATGTGTTCTTTCAATCGTAATTGTACTCAAAATTCCAAATATCTATGCTGAACGTTCTTTTAATGAGGAGCTGAGAATTAGCTACAGCATGATGATGAATAATAATACTCAGAGGAATTCATCGAGTAGCGACAGACGCAGGACAACAATCAATTGGGATAGAATCACCTTTCAAAGGAAATACTAGTGGTGCTTGACTCAGAAGGTGAGTATAGAAGAAAACAAATGCCCGACTGTACACATCAGTTTTGCCATAAAAACGGATCTCACAAGATAATGCCTGTTTCAACTAAGAATAATTCAATCGTCAAACAAACAATGAAAAGTTTCAAGCAATGTAAAAGACTGATGGGAAACCAATAAATTGCATACGTCAACGCTACCGTGCGCTAGCAGAAGCAGTAGCAAACAACATCATCAACTGCTCGTTACGCTCTTCATTTGTCCTGGCATCGAGCCAAGGTTTGGCCGGGGAAATGTTACAACGCGATGAAACGTATAAAAAAAACACGGTCATCAGAACTTTCCAAGGATGTTTATGATCATTCTATTCCTCACCAAGTATTCCATACAGAAACTTGTTTGGTTCTCATATTTTATTGGTCCAGTCCAATTTGCGTTTGTCACCCACAGAAAAACACCTACATCTCACTGTCAAAGCCTTATGTTGAAGTTCCAAGAGTATATATGTCCCCAGAACCCCCTTACTTCTCTAGGATTTGTCATTTATGATGTATATTTCATTGAACGACTTACCGAAATCATGTGGTTGTAGTTTTGCGTTTTCACCATATGAATCTCTTCTAATTGACTCGTGGAAATCATGTTCGAGGCCGGTTTGTGTTTTACCACGTAGCACTGCGTGGTTCTCGCGGTGAGTGGTGTACACCCTCGTTCGGAATCCATTCGAATTACATACTGCTGCTCCCCATCCGTCTTGTGATTTCTTTGCGACC